CGTCCCCCACGGCTGAAAGGGTTGAGCATGTTTGGTGGGACGAGGATACGAACGAGTCAAGTGCGTAACCACCTGACTATGCCGGGCCCACATTTTTAGTGTTAAAGTTTAGCTTTAAAATAAAAGTAATAGTTTGAAACTGATCATGAATACGAGATAGAAACTGAAATATGATATAGTGATATATCCTTTGTAACATTAGTTATTTATTAAACAAGGTTCCTTCTTAACTCTTCAATTTAAGAATTTAATATATTCAGTAGAAAGGCTTATACACAATCACTTTGATATACCTATCTAGCGATACTGATTACTAGAGATCGTATATATATACGCGTGTGCGTGTGTGTATGTGTAGGAATAATGATAATCAAAGCAGGTAGGTAGTTATTTTTATTTCATACACAATATACACTTTGGCATTTCGAATTAAACCGTATTTTTCACGAAATATTTATTAACTTATAATATTCATACCATTGATCTGGTAAAAGATGACCTGCACTGATGTGCTAACATTTGACTCACGACTCAATCTTACTACTATGATATAAAACTATTTACAGACTCAGAAATATTATTATAATTTAAGTCAATATTACTAGAAACAAAGTGGCATGATAATATTTAATTATTAAGGCTATAATATACTTTTATTTTTTGTTTCTTTTACAGAAACTGCTTTACAAGTACTTTACCAGTGTTCGGAGTTTGAAAACAACATTAATCTTTTAACAAAGCTTGTACAGAACTAAAGGTATTTTCGCAGAAAGACAAATAATGGGAGAAGCTAATGTCGTCTTACCTGAGCATGTAGAGGATTTCTCCCGAGGGGTTTATGCGCACCAGTACATTAGGTACTGTAACGTATTGGAATTCTGCATGTTTGGCATTGGCGAAAAACACCTCAGGTTTCCATATCCGCTGCACTAGCTTGGGATCGTTCAGATCTAGTGGCTTGGAAAGGTTGGGCTTACGTAATCTTTCATCAAGCCAGTGCTGGCGTAGATACAAGTCTACCTCATAATCCTAAACAAGAAATAGTAAATACAAAATGTATGACATTTACGATTCAAGACATTTGCCTCACAAATTAACCCAAAATCTGGTGTGTTTTTGAAATTCTATACTAATTTATTTCATTAATTTCTTCCCTTTGTTTATCTTGCTGAACGTTTTTATTGGGCACAGCTGTAAGATATGTTGCAAAGAAGTTTATATATTTTATCACCATTACAATTTAAACTTTAAAAAAAATCGTATTACAACCAGGGGGGGGGATGTTAACAATATAGTTACGTAGATTTTGGAATTGATGGTAACTGAAATGTGATTACTTTCCAATAGCTTAAAGAATTCAAGAAAGTTGTCAATGAATATTGAGCACTACAAAAGTGGTCCGAAAAGTTAGTTGTCTTCACACTTAATTATCTACTATATTATATATATGGATAACATTTGATTTGCAGCACTAACTATCGTCGGTTTTCTATCGGTATATGTGTTTCGTGCTTATGTACCGTTAAACGGGTGAAACGACTTAATATAATGCTCTAATTGTGTGATAATTCAATAAACCAAATAAGAAAGCATAGTAACACCAATATTAGAAAATGAAAAGGGCGGAGAAGCCAGAAATCTGTGAATCAACTAAGCTCAACTTATGTGAGTACGCATATAATAACTGAAATACTTATGAGTTTGGCATTTATATACCTTTTGTTATGTATTTTAATAAAGAAATGAATAACCATTAAGTAGTGTTTTCAACCGTATATCTTGACGAGAAATTAATAATTATCTTAATTATAATAAATCTCATGTAAAGGGGCATGAAGGTATACACAAACACACACACAAGTACACATGTATAAGTATTTGTTGACTTACCAATTCTCAGTTTATAAGTCACCAAATCTGTAAGAATACCACATATACAGACAACGTTTCTCTAACAAAATAAGTTAAGGATGTCCACTAGATATTCGACAAACAGATTCCTTTTTTTCCTTTATTACGTGTGAATAATGTTTTTTTTTTACATGTACACAACAGTTTGATAACAAAAGATTGCGAGTCGAGTGCCCTAACCACAATGCCATGCCGGGCTGTTTTATTTATTACCAAGCTATAAAAATACTGCCTAGATATAAAAATATTACCCAGTTATGATTGGTGATGATCGGTGCAATAGTTTTGGAGGTATACATCGCAAGCTCCATTATAATAAGATATTAAGGTTGTGATGTCTTATACGGAAACTGGATAGGTCAAAGTTCAAGATTACGTAGCTTAATTGTAGAAGTAGTACAGGACGTTTGGAACAATATTTAACAATAATGCATTGATAAACTTGGGTAGCTCTGCTTAAAGTAAATATAAAATACTAATGTATTGCACGACATTTTCGTTTTTATTGTGTTAATTTCTTGATTGTACTAATGAGACGTTGATCGTTTACTGGTAATTACTCATTTTATCAACTGTGTATTTCATAATTATTTCCAATATTTTGTATAAAACATAAAACGATTTTTGAGCATAAATCATAATCAATATTTAAACCAAACTGTATCGGTTGGCACAGGTTTTATGGTTTAAAAATACCGCACTTTGGCGAAGGTCGCGGGTTCGAATCCCCGTCCCACCAAACATGCTCGCCCTTTCAACCGTGGGGAGTTATAATGTGACGGCCTATCCCACTATTTGTTGGTAAAAGAGTAGCCCAAGTGTTGGCGGTGGGTGGTGATGACTAGCTGTCTTCCCTCTAGTCTTACATTGCTAAATTAGGGACGGCTAGCGCAGATAGCCCTCGTGCAGCTTTGCGCGAAATTCAAAACAAACAATAAATAAAACAATTGAAATTTCCATAAAAATTATATGTTTCAGATTTAACCAATAAAAATGACAAAAAGGAATAAGTTTCAAATATAAAAAACAAACTTAAAAAAATATTATTTGTCTTTCTTTAGTGAAAATCTCATGAGTGTTGCAACAGAAAAGCAAGGCACTTTCATTGATAACTGCGTCTACAAAGAAATAATCAATAAAATGTACTCTGTGATGCAATGTTGTAATGATAGCTCATTTTTAAACTAAAATTTCAATAAAATTCTTTTTCTCATGGATAGTGAACACTATTGAATGTCAGACAATTCCGGGAAAGGCCGCAGGAACAGTTATGCCATAGTTCTGAGTGTTTCTTCAGCCTCATTTTTTTTCCAATGTCATTATACTAGCTACATGCTTTAAATCCCTGTCTTGCAGGAAGATCAATCCTAGCCAAATGATTCTTGTTCCTGAGAAAATTACTTGATTGATAAGAATCTGATTATACCTTCTAGTAGTCAGGATGCCATCAATTTTGTGTAGATCTCTAATATTATTTATTGACTGAGCCACATATGTATCTGTCTCCCAACATACTCTATTGTAGATTATCTAAGTTGACCATAATGGATTTATTCTCTGCAATCAAACTACAGTTGCTTGTAACCAACCAATTTCAATATGTATTCATCTTTAAAGAGAATTGCTCATCCCATTGGTTGAAGTCTGATGCCCATTTCATCCTTTGTGTTTGGTACATCTCTTAATCAATGTTTTTCAAACACCCATTTAGGCCTTTTCGTGCTAATGTGTATCTTACTGTTCTTGAAGTAACGTTAACACCTGTACTTACAGCTAGGTATTTGATAAGATTTTTGATGGATTGTCGTGTATCACCTATTAACATCAATTCTGAAGATTTTGAACTTTCTACTTCGACCACTTCTAATATCAACAGTACTGATCAGATCCATGTAACTTATTCGGAGCTTTTATACCGATCCTACCGAAACGTGATATTTTATTTCTACATCTATCAGTTGCGTGGATTTGCCTTCGCCAACAAAAGTTTTAACTTATCTCGCCCGTCTTTATTTGTTTTGAGTTTGCCCTCTTTATTCGAGTTAAATCTATAATAAATGAATTTTTCAATTTCAAGAAATGTTGACTAAATTTTTATTTAAATTATATTTAGGACAAGTATCCAACTTGCTTTAAAAGAAAATAATTTCCATTGATATGATATATATATATATATATGTACACATTAAACAATCACATATACAGAACTACAGTCCTATACGTTCTTACACTTATCTATGTGTCAATATATATATACATATAAAACTGATAAATGAAAATAAGCAAAAAATACATGGCTTAATTGGCACTCTTTAGACAATTACCATCGCCTATCATCAACATGCAAAATTTGGAATCCAGCCAATCTCGACAGTTTTAGAGTATTTGAAATGTAAAACATTTTTATTTATTTAAAGTGAAAATAATTTTACTTTATATATTCATAAAACATTTTGATAGCAACTACGTTTCCTATAGCTAATTGCTGAATTTCGTGCAAAGCTAATAGAGAGTTATCTGTACTCTGTATCTAGTGTTTGTTAACTTGTTTAAGGATTAAATTTTAGAAAAGCGTTTAAGACGTTGAGTGTGACTTCGAGAGCAATTTTTTTCTTTTTTTTCCTACTTAATTGTGGCGTACAATTACACAGGCCTGCGAATTCAAACTTCATAAAAGTTGTTTTGGTTTTAATAACTGATTTTCCATGATTCAGCTACGCAGGATTCGAAAATAATATTCACTTTTCTCTGTCACACAAGGATTTTTGTTTTTTTTACAAAACGGGAAATAAAAAAAAAGAACTCTTACTTAGATCAAATTATTATTTCGTTTACCACAATGAACATTTTCAATTATAATGTGTGTTTCTCATGGATTCTAGAACGACTGATAAGACTCTCACGTCGCGATTAGTCTAGAGAAATCTACAGCCAGTGGTTGTCAACATTTTAAGCATAAAAAAAGTGACCCGATTCCGATGAAAATGATTCACTTATATAAAAATAAATATGACGTTTTGTGAAAAATATGTAAGTGATCGAGAAAAATGGATATCATTCTCGGATTTAGCGTACAGGAATCACTGTAGAACATGTAAAAATTTCAAGACAATAAAACCATCGCAGGCCTGTGTAATTTTTAGGCTTAACATTGTAAGTGTGTATTAATTGTTTGGATTCTTAGAAGAAAACGTAATTATGTTTACTTGTTTATATATTTGTAATATATAAGAGAAACATACATAATAATTAGGAAGTCAAAATCGATATCACTGACCTCCATTTTATTGTATTATAACATTTTCCAGTGATAATAATCGCAGCAGGTGCTGTATTTAGAATGGCCCTTGCAACTAGAAAAATTTGTTTGTTTTTGCACGAGGGCTATCTGCGCTAGCCGTCCCTAACTTAGCAGTTTAAGACTAGAGGGAAGGCAGATAGTCATCACCACCCACCGCCAACTCTTGGGCTACTCTTTTACCAACGAATAGTGGGATTGACCGTCACATTATAACGCCCCCACGGCTGAAAGGGCGAGCATGTTTGGTGGGATGGGGATTCGAACCCGCGACCCTCAGATTGCGAGTCGAGCGCCTTAACCACCTGGCCATGCCAGGCCACTAGAAAAATTAAACAACAATCATCAAAGAAAGGCTATGTGGACACCTGGTGATAAGATCACTCAGGATTTGTAATATTCTTCAAATGTGAGAATTTTTGATGGGACGATTCTATTACCCTAAGGAATAAATAACTAAATAAATATCATTTCTTCAGTAAATAAGTGTAGTTTGATTGGGCCGTTATAGCGTACTAAGCACAGTTCTTTATGACGCCAAGTATATATGTTTACCATTGAGTCATTAATGTGTCACATTTCGCTTGATATATAATATCAGAAATTTATATTTTTACTAATTTTCGCTTGACTGAAGCGTATTTGCCGTATTAACTAAGTTAACAACGCTTCAATGGACTACTGTATTACAAGAAGGTTACATATAGTATTCACTAATTAAAAGACAACTTCTAAGATTTATGAAAAGTTGCTTTTGAAACCCAGAGTATCGCAGAACATTTCCCAAACTGATAGCACAGCGACGAGTTCAGAATATATTCTTTCTTCCACTATACTGTTTAAGTCCTATAAAAAATATATACAAGGATCAAAAAGAAAATCTTCCTTTGAGCTTTACTTAAGACTAGCAGGCTGGTGCATAGTGTATACATGATGAGACCTTTTTATATAACTTTCAAAACAGTTAACAAAAATAAATATCGTCTTAAAAGACATGAACTTGGATTGAAATTCAACGAGTTTTCCTGAGTTCAACGATAGGCAAAACAGAAGATCAGTGCGACTGTTTTGAGTTTATATCCGTTTCAAAAAGTATATAGATAGATTGGTAATAAGCAAACAAAACTAAATAAAGAATTTCGCAAGCATATACGTCCCGCCAAAAAATACCTAAGCCCCAATTATGTACGTGATGTAGTCCACCCGGCATGCTTTGTAAGAGAAATTCCAAGATACAGTCACAGAGACATACGAACCATATAGTTAGTTAGATTAGTAGCATTGAAGAGTGTAAAAGGTACTAAAACGTTGTGAACAATGCAAACTCCTCAGACAAGAGATTAAAAACGTGGAAAATGGGCACGAGGAACATTTGCAATAGCTTGGCGTGGCAATCTGTGGGTCGCGGGTTCGAATCTCCGTCACCGAATATGCTCACCCTTTCAGCCAGGAGGCTTTATAATGTGACGGTCAATCCCACTATTCGTTGGTAAAAGAGTAGCCCAAGAGTTGGCGGTGGGTGCTGATGACTAAATTATTATTATCTAAATATTTCCATGATTACGAATTATAAAAGTCCATGTCGCTCATCAAATAGCTCTAAAATAACTGCTCTTTATATATATAGATATTTTGAATTACAACTCTTTGAAAGTTATTGATCACTGATAACTTCTTCTGAAATGTTTGAATCATCACGATATTGTTCCTTTCTTCTGTATGCAGATATATTCTACATTGTTGTCTCTACATAGTTTTATTTTATTGAAAATACAGCAAAAAACAAAAACTTAAGACTTGGAATTAAACCAATGCCGTACAATTTCCATAAGATGGCTAGTTTCTTACCATAGTCTCTGGGTTGATGGATCCGAAACTCCTGATGTAGATTTCACAAGAAACAACCGTTGGAATGCCTATTAGAAAATAAAACGTAGTAGTGTGTTTATTGTATTTTACGACTATTGTTATTGATACCTAATGTGGTTGTTACTTATCCTTACGTTATTTTCTGACTAATACAATACTGAAAAGCATTAATTTTACATCAGTGAATTAACAAGTGTACACGTTCCTGAGTCATACATTTTGAAATTGAATGAAAAGTTTGTAGAAAATAACAAGTGTGAAAGGAAATAGAAATATTTTATAAATTATGCAAATTTCTTTTTATTAAGAGAGCATCCAGTTTCTTAAAAGGAATTTGAATTAAACCCTTAATAAAGGTTTATATATCTTAATATTCAATCATCGAGAAAAAATTGTAATGTATTTTTACCACCTATAAAAATCGTGTTTAAATGTAAGAATGTTTTCTGTTAATAATGTCAAAGAATTAAAATTCTATAAAGTCTGTTGTCATCTTACCAATGTGACTTGTTGGAAGGGCCCGCCTGTCGTAGTTTTTCAATAATTCATCTAGCATATCCAAATCATGGAAGGTGGAGTTCACTAAACCTTTGCTACAAGAAAAAAACATTCAAACTCATTTTATTCAAAACACATTTAACAACATAAGTTTCTCTACTGTTGTAAATAATACATTTCATTGGAGATTCTTGAGGGATTCAGGCGTGACTCACTGGTTAGAGTGCTCCGACTGTGAACCCAAAGGTTTGTTGTTCACGGCTCGTTGTTGTAAACATACGCTCAACATTTTGGAGCCTACTTGTACTATGACAGTGACAGTAAAATCCCATTATCTTCTACAAATATCCATGACTAAAGATCTATTGCCAAAAACCTCGTTCCTCACTTTGGGGCGGCCAAATCCCACTATTAGATCAGACAAGAGTATCCCAAAAGCTGTTGGTGGATGCTGTTGACTAGCTGCCTTCCCTCTGGTATATCAATACAAAATTAAGGGCGGCTGTGCACGGATAGCGCTACGATTAGTGAAAATTCTAAAACAAATAAACAAGATTCCGGTTACACCGAACGTGTTTTAATAAAAATCATTACGAAAAATTGGAATGAGTCTGATTTTTCAATTTCTACCATTTATCATTTTCCACAAATATTTCAGATTGAATAAATAAATAAAATGTATTATTATTAAGATAGAAAACTAATACACTAAACCGCAGTCTTGCAAACTAGAGCTTTACAAATCGGGTTTGAATAAGGTTGCAAAAATCTACAAAGATGAAAAAAAATGTGTTCTTGCTGTTTGAAACTTAAACCATTTGATCATGAGTTCCGCAGTCTATATAAAGATGACGAGAAAGATGTTTGCAATTCTACAGACTTCAGAACTGATAAAACCAGAGAGATCTGTCTGCGGACTTACAACGATAAAAACCGGGTTTCGATACCCGTGGTGGGCAGAGCACAGATAGCCCTTTGTGTAGATTTATGCTCAACTACAAATAAACAAAACAAATGAACTATAGAGAGGATGCATGCAGGTAAGGGTTTTATCTTCTCAGACTAACTAGACTTTAGTTCTTGATGCTTTGATCAACTAAATATATTTATCTTTATAATCTACATTAATTACTGGAAAAACTGTAAAAGTAAATATGTCTTAGAGATTTCTGAAATACAATTTCAGATAAGTTTTATTTTTTTAAAGACTGATACTGGAAGAAGATAGACTTATTGTTTTAGAAAAATTAAAACATACACATATATCACTTACTTTAGAAAGGTAATATCTTGATAACTTTCCGGTCGATAGAAATGCATATGGATTATGCTGAAGTCCAGAGCGATTTCTATTTGCTAGTTATTGTTAATCGCAAAGCTACACACAATCGGCTGTTTGGGCTCTGGCCACCGGGGGGAATTGAACCCTTGTGTTTTATGACCTTAAGCTTCCCACCGAGCCAGCGGGAGACATTTGGGACGACAATTTTTAAGGTAAGGACGAGATGAATGAAGCAAGAGAATATTCAAAATTTATTTTTTATCTTTCTTTTTTTTCACAAAAGATTACAGAGTGTAAATTTGTCGTTATTTTATGTAAATCTAGTGGACTTCGGAATTTTAGATCGGAGTAAATATCCTAGAAATCTGACAGGTGAATATATCTTCGTTACTGTTACTTGACAATCTTCAATCCCCTAAGTGACAACTTAAACCAACGTAAGGTCTCTTTACGTCAAAACCTTTAAAGAAATGGAATACGTTGAGATTCAGTTTTCTCAATCGATTGATTCAAGAGAATTAAAAATGATACGGATAGGCAATAACAGACATATGACAGTTTTAGTGACAGTTTTGGATAGTACATTAAGACGGAGCAAATTTAATAAAGGTTTTGAAAATAACCTCACAAAATATTTCTCTCGGCTAAACCTACTATTACAAGTATAACTTCTGAAACTCCTACGGGAAATTAAACCAAACATACAAAAATTCTAGATGGAATTAAATCTACCAAGCAGAACTAAATCCATACTTGTTTGGCAATTAAAACTTTCACCAATAAAAGTCCATGTCAGCTTAACAATTAATAAATACTCTTATGCATTTGAGAGTTATATCCAGAATTCATTTTTACCTACACAATTTAATATATATACATATATATTGTAAGTCTTCACCTATACAATTTCATATATATACATATATATTGTAAGTCTTCACCTATACAATTTCATATATATACATATATATTGTAAGTCTTCACCTACACAATTTCATATATATATACATATATATTGTAAGTCTTCATATTTTCTATGTAGAAACGGAAGTTTATGTTTTAGCACCTCGAACAACTTTTCAACCACAATCAGTTGAACGGTGTTTCAAATTTTAGAAGGTAATTTTTTTTAGCGCAAAACTACACAATGGACTATCTACACTTTGTCTAACGTAGAAAATCGAACCCCGGATGTTGGTGTTCTAAGTCCACAAAGATAACAATCAGGGGACGAGTCTTAAAAGAAACAAAAAAGTTGTACTTGTGAGGTCTTATACAATCCTGTGAGTTATATAAACTCAACACATATCTTTGAGACAAGATTCTTACCATTATTAGCGATAGGGCCCGGCATGGCCAGGTGGTTAGGGCGCTCAACTTGCAATCTGAGGGTCGCGGGTTCGAATTCCCGTCACACCAAACATGTTCGCCCTTTCATCCGTGGGGGCGCTATAATGTGATGGTCAATCCCACTATTCGTTGGTAAAAGAGTACCCCAAGAGTTGGCGGTGGGTGGTGATGACTAGCTACTTTCCCTCTAGTCTTACACTGCTAATTTAGGGACGGCTAGCGCAGATAGCCCTCGTGTAGCTTTGCGCGAAATTCAGAACAAACATATTATGAAAACATCTTAGAGTATAAAGCAAATATTAATATTTTTATACAATACTGGCCTTAATGCGTCATATATAATGTCTTATGCTTAGAAATAATACATCTATATACGTATATATATATATATATATATGTGTGTGTGTGTGTGTGTGTGTGTGTGT